ATCTTATTTTATCCCAATATTTGTACAATTTAACACTCATTCTGGTATTATTCTAAATAGAAAGATTTGTATTCTCTTCGAAAATATAAAAAAAATTTCCCAATAATTGACTTGTCACACAAAATACTCGTGTTAAATTTTGATAGATTATTCAATGGATCAAAGTTAAACCTGCAGCGTACTATTGGCTTCTAAGAAAAGACACAAGTTTCGCCTTCATTTTGTCCATTACTTCGTTGCTGGATAATATGATAATCGACGACTGAATGAATTGCGTTTTTACAGTTTTACAAATATCTATATTTTATAGAGACCAAGTGCAAAAAACACGAGTGACACGGTTGTCAGTTTTTCTACCCTAATCAAGCAATCTAATCTATTGTTTGTTAGGAATCTATCCTGTTTGGAAAACCATAAAGAGCCGGGTAGTCATCCGAGTACAGTACAATATCCTGCTAGTAGATAGAAGTGATTCAGGACTTTCGACTTATAGACAGTGTATGTATGCTGGTACAGGGAACAATGAGTCAAGGCACACTGTCGAAGAAGATGTACACGTTTAAAAAATTTTGTCATGCAACACACACACATGCACAAACGTATAATAATCCTTTGGCACTGTGGAGTGTGCCTGGCAACAGTGCCTGTTTACTTTTGTCTGGCAGATCGAGCAGCATAAAGGCAGCCTCGGATGGCCTACTATCTCCTCGAGGCCTCTCACCTTAGAGTCGTCCATCCACATCGAGGTCATTACGAATACGTACAAGTACAGTCCGTGTCACAAGCGTTTGCCCTTTTCAATTAATTTACCAATTAAAGCAGCAAGACGCAATCGCCAGCCAGCCGTCTGAAAGCCAGGTTTTCTTTCCCATGGGAAAATGTTGAACCCGCCTCTCTTGAGATTCGCAAGCTAGTTTTCATGCCGTTTTCACATTTACCCGTTAATCGCCAGAGCAGTTGTTTCGTACGAAGCATTCACAGGGAAAATTGGAGAACGTCAATGTTTTTTTGACGACTGATTATGCATGTATGTGGTATCGCGAATCGAAACTTTCTGAGTTTTACATTTATTTTGACACATGAGAAAATGTGAAGTTAATGAATATATATGTATAAAATATCTTTTGTATGTGTATATATATTTATGTATATATATATAATATTTTTTGTATGTGTATATGTATATATATAATATTTTTTGTATGTGTATATATATGTAATATTTTTTGTATTTTATATTATGTGCATATGTATATATATAAAATATTTTTTGTATGTGTGTGTATATATATATATATATTTGTATATTTTGTATATATATATATATATATATATATATATATATATATATATACAAAAAATATTTTATATATATATATAAATATATATATTACATATTGAAAGATAAATTTTCATTTTTTGAGAAATATTAAAAACTTGGCATTCCTCCTTTTGTACTACTCTTCATTTTCTATAAACGTTGTTGCAATTTCCCTTATTCTCTGAAAGAAGGTTTTTGAAGTTATACATTGCATTGATGATTTTACGTTGTATATCGCTCCTCTTAATGAAAAACTTTTTTCTAGTCTGTTCCTTACGATGCTTATTCATAAGAGAGGCGAGCTGAACTAGAAGTAAAATAAATCGACGCACGAAACACGTTGAAACGTTGAAACTTGTAGCTAATCGGTGTAGTATGTAAATTTCTTCGCGTGTTGATGCATGATGTACAACGGTGATTTATCCTCATGGTAACTGGTACGTCGTTTTATCGTTAATCTCGCGGGATTCTTCCTGATTATTTACGTAGTGCAACCGATGTCGAAATCGATGATGAGAACTATACTAGTAAAAGTGCCTATTTCGAACCTATTTGACGTCATGTTTCTCAGTGTATTAATGCTTGAGAGTTGATTCGGTAGTTGAGAATCATAATAATATAAATTTAATATTTGAAAAATTTCCTCAAATTAATTAATATAACTTGCAAGTTTATATTTTTATGAATACAATTGAAGGTACTTCATTTATTAATTATCGTAACGAATTTTAATTTTTATTTAAGCCCCCTTTGTAGTTTCAGTTATGACCTTACTCCGTACAAAAGTAAATTTTCAAAATGTCAAAGAGTACATTCAACTTTGTTAGAAAATAAAATTACAAAAATATTTTCAATTTGTATGTACATCTTACGTTTCTATTTCATATTCGTTTTCATGCAAACCGCATTCACTTTTCACGCGGTTACTTTGCCAGATTGCCTATTTACTTTGCTCTTCAATTAAAATATTTTATCTAGACATAGAAAATTTATCACTGCCAATTAATTACTGGATGTTGCTTGTAATAATTAACATGTTAATATTACACGAGTTTATCTATATCGAGCGATCTAAACGAGATCTTCAAGACAGTGGCAAAGTTTTCTGATTCAGAAAGTCTTTAAGCAGCAGAACGAGTTCGAGACGTCAAATAATAGTGTCAAAGTACAGTTATCGAGCAGCCAGTCTTACTTTATCGGATTTATTCCCGTGGCTAGCTACTGTTTCTACATCTCACCTCATCCACTCATCTTCACACCGATCTCAAACGATTTTGCACGGATAGTTGATGCCCAGAAAATTGCGGTATTGTTGGCATGATCTTCACGCTTGGTTGCTGAAAATAAGATCTAAGATCTCTTCTCATTGTTAGACACATAGTTGGGGGATGTTCGTCGAAGTATATTTACTAGCCGCTTATTGGAAGATCGGTTACACCGATCTGATTGACAGTTTGCTACACAAAGCAAAATTTTATTATTAGACTTTTTCTAAATTAAAAATTCGTCTAGCTGTCAATGAACTCGGTTGTATTGTTTACGCAGTTGTTTATTATTCGATAAATTACATTAAGTATCAGTCTCAAACAAAACACAAGACAAAATTTAACTGTCTTTGAAATTCGTGGTTCGTCTAGCTATACTTGTTAGCGAAAATCATTAGTTTCATTGATTCTCCAATGGATCAAAATTCAGTCTTATTGTAAGAAATGAAAAATAAACTTCAAACGGTCGGTATGAATGGTGGAAGGGAAACGCGTGTTAGAAAAGAAACGATGAGATTTTCCAATTCCATTTTTCACTTTTTCCCGCGATTAGCTTCGCGAAGTGGGAATGGCGCGAGACCACGCGAAAGGAGAGCGTGAAACGACAAAAGACCTCGACTCGGTTGGCTAGCCAGCATGAAGTTCCACACACGTTCGTGCGATTGCACTCTGCGTGTACACATTTTGCATTGACTACATTATCCTGTAATGATTCTTGCGCATATTTAGTAACTACAATGCACGCGTCTGTCCTGTTTGCAGAAACGCGCCGCGTTTACAGCGAATTCTCATCTCCCTTTGAATGGAGAAATCAATAAGCGTTGCTTACAATCTCCGTTTCGAAAGTTGCTAATTTCCAAGCCCCATTTTTTTCACAATTAGAAGTGAGAGTTCAATCGTTCATTTAGCAGCGTTAAGAAGATTAAAAAAAAAAAAAAAAAGAAAAGAGAACAGAAAGTTCGACTAATTTTTAATGCTACAAGTAATTGCAATTTCAATTCGTTTTAGCAAAAATGAAAAAATAAAAAAAAAGTTGTGTCAAAATCTGATTTGAAAAAATAACAAATGTTGGATCTACAATTTGGTACTTTATTTTCAAATTCAGGTAATTATAATTCATTTCAGTGAATCATAATCCCTATCTGATGTATTATTCTGTGGTTATTACATAAAACAGACGTGCAAATATTTTATGAGACAATAAACGAGCGAGAGACTTGTGCTCACGCTGAGTAACAATGTTTTGATGTAAATTATCTCATTTGCATCGAATCGCCTTTATCATTTGATTAATTACATATGCCAAAAACCAGGGAGATAAAGAAGATAACGATGTCAGACGCAAAGTATTTTTCAAAAATAAAGATCTTCTCATTTATTTACTTCGGTATCTTACAAATTAATAAGTAAAACTATTTAAATTTCATAGTTGTCGGTTCATAGTTTCAGTTTCAATACCCTGTGTATAATATAAATTATGTTTCTGAGCTGTAACATGCAGAAGTAGGAAATAATTTCAAAGTGAAGAATTTCTAGAACTATATTAGAAATCGCACAAAGGAATGAGCGTGAGATGATTTAAAAAAAAAAAAAAGAAGAAACCTTGATGGAAGTGTAATTAAATTTATGCTACTGGCTTATTTCAATGTAGTGAGATCATCACGGAAGTCAGTTTAGTTATTTCTTTCTTCGTCTACGGCGACCAAACATAACGCGCGCGATATAATCGCAGAGATATATCTGTTTGATTAACATAAAATAGAAACGACAAGAATAGAAACGACGGAAAATGTCGAGTAATGAGATTCAGATTGAAAGAGGTATACTTATATCGAACCAAACTGCTTCACGCCGGACCTGTTACCCGGATATGTTTGTTTCTATTTTATAATTAAACCCGGAATAGTAAGTTAACAATGAAGTTATTATTTTACAAATCGGTGCAACAATACATCGTGGAGCCACGCTTGACTTGACTACGTTCTGATTTCTGTCAAGTCATTGTACAACGCTAATTTTTAATTCTGAAATGCAAAAAAATACTTGACGTCAAGAAAAAATTTCTTACACCGTGTAGATTTTTGTTTCTCTTCTTTTTTTTTTTTTTTTACTTTCGTTTAAATTCGACACAAGATTATCTCAATTACTCCAGTAATTAATAGAAAAATGATCAATAATACATAAAAGAATATAATCAGAAATCTGCAATTATTGAAACTATTCGAAGCTTCGTTTTCAAGAGAAAATTGCTCGGTGTCGTGCGTGATTAATTTTTGATCAGACAAAACAGCATAATTTTAAATTGTTTTCGCACGTAGAATGTATTTGTCTTCCTGTTATGTTGTCATATAATAAACATTTATAACTCTGTCACTTCGAAAATTCGGTTGAAATTTTTATTTATTTATTCGCAGGCGTACATTAGGCCAAAGAGCACGGCGGTTCAAATTGCAAGAATCGCGGCTGTCACCTTGGTGACAATGTCCGTGGTCCTTGGAAGCTTCATCCTTGCAGGATCCTGGGTCCAAGCTCGAGCATCTTGCACACCTGAATCGATTGCTGCAATGCAAGCTGAGCTTAGGTTGCAGCAACAGCAGCAACCATCATCGATTACGTATCAGCAAGGTGAATTCTTGAAGCATCTGCAACCTGAAGCTCTCGTTCAGGTAGGTACTTTATAAAAATATAGTCAGATCTAAGCCATACGTGTAATCTTCCTGTAAAGAGACATTACTTTTGTCTGGATAAGTTACAGTAGTTTAAATACAATTAAAGGAATTACTTTGTGTGATATTTCACAATTTTTCCTGAAATAGAAAAATGGCTTCGTGTTTAAGTATCATTGAAAATTCATTATATAGGTATCATATTTATATTTATTCACATATATTCATTATATAAGTGTTTCATGTTTTAAATTTCTTGTAATCTGTTAATTGAAAAAAAAAAAAACAAGTTAATTCAATTGCTGACAATCTATTTAGAAACTCTTGATTTTTTACTTTGTACTGAAAATACACAAATGTTCGTATTTATAAGAATCTTGTGGTTAAAATTAATTTCCAACCATGTGATTCATTTAAAATTCAATAAAGAAAATTTCTTTATATTTTCTTGCAAAAATAAACTGGTATAAGGATAAATGGGAAAATATTATCAGAAAAGAGAGCTGGAGCGTTAAATACAGTTCTAACATGTCAAAAATTTCTCTTCTTCCATTTTTTTTTTTTTTTTCTTTTTAAATACATGTACGCTTCAGACGTTCTGGGGTAAGTGCCATCACAGTTACTCTTACCAAAAGGAATCATTGTCTTCCCCATTACCAGATCCTTGAGAAAAAAATATCCCTATTTTTAGGCAATACGACGATTTCCCGAATCCTGCACACTTGTGTGGGCCAGCCGTCGCCAAGCGCTCAGGCTTGTTAGTGACACTTGTCCTTCGACGTCCCTGTCTCGATTATGCTAGAAAGAACACTCGGCTACTCCGACTAAGGGACCCTCTTTCGAAGGATCTGTTGATAGATTACTTAAAGACAGCGTTTTGTACTTTCAACTGAGCAAAGTAGGCTCTTCTGCGCGTAAGAGTTTAAAAAGGCTTCTCCTGTTTTAAAATTTTTTTACGGGGGCCCCCCCCCCCCCCCTGGTGTATTCTGTCTCGCTCGTTCGACATGGAACCAGCTTTCGAGATTTCTAAATTTTCACCTCGATTTTAACCGATTGTAGAAGATCAGCCGGCTGATCAATCGATCAACGATCTCAACGATACTTTCCAGCCGAGTGCAGCCGTTTCGGTTTATGGTGGAAAGTAAGGAAGGGAAACGCCGGCGATAATTGGATTAACGCCGAACAAAAGAATCAATTTGCTTCACATTAGGCCAGAAGAATTAAGAAATGAGATTAAGAATTAAGAATTAAGAACCAACGTTTGAAAGTCTCGAAGAGATTTTAAACACTCGGTCAAACAGTATCAGTGAAATATGAAAAACCAGGAGTGTTTGGCACATTTTGAGTTAACTAACGTTATCACGAAATTTGATCGCAAATTACAAGTTGCTGGCGTTGTTAGAAACATCCTTCCATAATAATTGCAAGTTCCAATGTATCACATCAGAAATTATGTAAAGACCGGGAAAATCTAGCAAATTTAAATTTTACAAGATTTCATTTCTAATTGCAAATTACAAGTTTCCAATGTTTATAATAATTATTGTCAAGCTTGACGATGAAAACGGAAGGAAAGCTCTTTAAAAAGAGTAGGTTTATAATCTGCAACTTGTAAATTTGTCAATTCATCGACACTGTGCAAAAAGAAAACGATGTAACAAGTCAATTTTTGTTCAGTTTATCTTGCGTCGAGTGCCTAAAGCAATTAAACCTTTTGAAGCAATTGATTTCTATATTTGACGTGAACTACTCATCTAAAAAGGATCAGCATCACGCTTGACTAATCGCGCGTTTGCGGGAGATGCAAAAGTCAGGTAAAAGTATGTTTAAAAATGAAAGTGAAAGTCAAACGAGAAAGCGGAATGGTTGTTCCTTTGCCGCGATGAAGTTTTTCAATGATAAGGTTGAGAAAAAGAAATCAACTGAGGATCGATGCTGAACTCGAAAGTTAAGATCGGAATTATTCATATGAAATGCTAATTACAAATTGACTCCTGTGTTGTAAAAAATTTAATATTGTAATATTTCCTTTCATTTCTCAGTTAACTTTTCGCTCGTCCATTAATTTGATTTCTCTTTTAAAAAAGAGAATATTATTTTAATGATCAATTTTAGTGACCACGTAATATTATTTACAATATTACTTTAGTAATCAATTTTAGTAACCACGTAATATTATTTACAATATTATTTTAGTAATCAATTTTAATAACCACGCAATATTATTTACAATATTATTTTCAATAATCGATTTTAGTAACCACGTAATATTATTTACAATATTATCTTAATAATCAATTTTAGTAACTACGTAATATTATTTACAATATTATTTTAGTAATTAATTATAGTAACATTATTTACAATATTATTTTAATAATCACGTAATATTATTTACAATATTATTTTAGTAATGAATTTTAGTGACCACGTGATATTATTTACAATATTATTTTAGTCATCAATTTTAGTAACCACGTGATATTATTTACAATATTATTTTAGTAATCAATTTTTGGTAACCACGTAATATTATTTACAATATTATTTCAATAATCGATTTTAGTAACCACGTAATATTATTTACAATATTATCTTAATAATCAATTTTAGTAACTACGTAATATTATTTACAATATTATTTTAG